CTTGCAGAAGAGCTTTATACAAAAATAAAAACATGAATGTGGTTCTTCTAGATCAAATAAAGACTGTTATGTTCTACCTTTTTTTTATGATCTACCTTTTTAAAAGATATCCTTAGATGAAATTAGAACCTAGTTGGAAGAGCTAAATAGTTTGGTTGAGATGACATTAAGCTTCTGGGAATCTCTTAGACTAAGGTGGTCTGACAGAGTTCTCATTCCTGGAGTAGTGTAGACTCTAGATTTATTCTGGATGGGGAAAACAGTTTACAGGAGCAACAGACCTCCACAGATGAACTCAGTCCCTTCAAACAAAGTCTGGAAAATGCAGAGGGAAGGGGTCTTAAGGGAGATTTGGCTTTTTTCAATGAATATTTCCAGCTTATTCTACCATTGATTAGGTTAAATTCACTCTCCAGATATACCTCAGGTGGGTGAATGACTTGTGGGCCGTCCATCTTTCAGTTTGGGCGAACTCCAGGTGCTCTGGGATATTCAGATATGTGTTAAAGAGCCAATATGTTCCAAACTTTTCTAGAAAAAAGTGCAGAAGTCTCGTTTAAAGGCGTTGTAAAGGGTCTTTTAAGTGAAAAGCAATGTTTAGCCTATGTATATTAACCATAATTTCTCTTTTTATTTTCTGTTTGCTTGTTCTCTTGCTTTCTTCCATGCTAAGCAGATTTGCGAGTAGAGGGTTTGTTTAGAGTTCCAGGCAATAGTGTCCGACAGCAGATTTTGAGGGATGCTCTCAATAATGGAACTGATATTGACTTGGAATCAGGGGAGTTTCACTCAAATGATGTTGCTACTTTGCTGAAGATGTTTCTGGGAGAGTTACCAGAGCCCCTGTTGACACATAAACATTTCCATGCACACCTCAAAATTGCTGGTAAGTATAGGAATGGAGGAAGAATGTAAATGTATTTTTATCAATTTAGAAAATCCTTTGGGGTTTTCTTTTCCTTTTTTTTTTTTTTTTTTTTACTGAAGATGTTTGGGAGAGTTACCAGAGCCCCTGTTGACACATAAACATTTCCATGCACACCTCAAAATTGCTGGTAAGTATAGGAATGGAGGAAGAATGTAAATGTATTTTTATCAATTTAGAAAATCCTTTGGGGTTTTTTTTTCCTTTTTTTTTTTTTTTT